GACCCCGCTAGATGGAGTTCTTTTACTGAGGGGGTCCGAAGCATGCCCTCTCTATGCGATCAGGTGGGACGGGTTGAAGACATAGGGGAGAGGCTGGCCCCATGCCATGTACGGCTTTAAAGGTAATAACCAACACCTTGAATTTGGATGAAAAATAATACAGGGGAAGCAAGCAGAGCGCAGCTTTGGAAATGTTTTCCAATCCCTTTACTGGCAGTACTATAGAATGCATCTGTATTTCCTTCCATGTAACAACATAATATGTTGCAACTATGTGTGAGTGGCTGCTGTCCCCTCATGTTGCATGCATGTGTGTTTGTGAGGATGTGTGCACAAGATGGGGTGCATATGTGCCATTCTGAGTCACATGATGAGAAGAGAGTGGAGGCTTAGAATGGAGCAGTCACCAATATGCGAGCCGCTGACCAAATGCCTCTCCCGTATGGATGTACTGGGGAATATTCCTGGATTTTTTTCTCCCTGCAGTTCTTTGCTGGATCAGACCCATGTTCAGACTCAAATCTTCCTTTTGCCCCCCTCCCCCCCATACTAAGTTGGTTCCCATTTTGTTTAACTTTTGGAGAGTTATTCGGCTGGTAGAGTTGCAAGCCCCATTACTTATTTCCAACATGTCATAGGGTTGGAAAAAATAACAAGAGAAGACAGTAAGTCTAGAGAGAGAGAGAGAGACAAGGGTTAACCTGATCTAGACCTGGTGAGATTTTTGCAATTTCATATTTCCAGACTGATTTCTGAATCAGACATAGGCAAAGTAGACTCTCCCTGTGTACAGAAGAGAGTTCTGGATGCTGAATGTTGTTTCTGAAGAAATAGTTTATTCCCCACGCCTCCCCACTCCCCCGCACTCCTTTTTTAACATGCAAATTGTTCAATAAAGCAATGGAGAAAAGATGCATCAACGCAGAATTGCACTAGGGTGCTGCTGCTTCATTTAAACATGGGAGTGAAATGAAACAGTGTCTTCACACTAATTTTCATTGAATAGCTCATAAAAAGGGGAATTCACTAAACTCATTCTCCTCCCCCACCATAAAGTAGGGCAAAACCCCTAATATTGGAGAGAGACCTTTTGCATCCTGGCACCATCATCTAGCTATTACAGAATATTTCTTAGGAAGTAAAAATAGAATACAACCCAAAATAAAGAAACCACATATCTCTTTTTCACAAATGCACACCCAGATACACAAACACGCGATGGCTAGTTCTGAGTAACAGAATAGGAGGTGTCAGCAAAGGGGGAGGGGGTTTAAAATTGGCAAGCTGGTGATAGGAACATTGTTCATACAAGGTTAAATTTTTTCTTTATACGCATAAAATAAGTGCTATTCATCACACATTGAAGTGCTTCACTTCAATCTCCTCTCTCTCTCTCTCTCTCTCTCTCTCTCACACACACACACACACACACACACACCCAACACACATTTACAAATGCACGCACACATACATTGCATCACAATATTCCAATCGATTTCCATCTTCCCAATTTTGACAGCCCCCTGCAGAAGCCCCTCCTTGCCCCTTCATTCTGCTTTCTGAATATGTGGCATTTCCACATTTATGACTTTTTACATGTGTCACCAAGGACCACACCCTTTGGGAGTGTGACTTAAACTCCTTTTTCTGTGCTAGTCTTTTCATTTTAATGCTTTTTTTTTTTCATTCTGCCTGCATCCAATATCCAGAAATGCAGGTTCATTATAACGGGAAGGGAAAATAATCGAGTCCCTATGTCCTATTCACTCACCACACCTAACAGAGAGTCAAACTTACTTGTTTTGATGTTTCGAGCCCTTCAAGTGTGCATGATACTGTTCTATTGAGTTTAGAGTGACGTTACAGATGTTGCAAGTATACGTCCGCTTCAGACCTGTGGACAGAATATAACAGGGTGAACTGCACCATCTTATGAAAACAGCAGACTTGATAGCTGCATTTACCCCAACGAGCTACTGCCTACCCTGAAATCATCCTCTGTGCATGGAAGTTCCCCCTGAAACTTCACAGTTCTGATTTTCCAAACTCTCAGCATCTATGGATAATAGAAGATCATCTTTGCAGATCCTCACCTTCCATATCTAGAGGACAATGAAAATTCTGGATCTAGTCTTCCCTTCCTAGGCCTCCATCCTTATAGCTAGAGTTTCCGCTACTGGTTCTTAACCTCTGGGTTGCCAAAAGGATTAGTATGCTTTTAGGGTAAGTCATCATGGTCCTGTAGATAAATTGAAATTTCTTTCTGCATAAATATATAACGTGTGTGTGTGCATATGCAAGAGAGAAAGATTAATTGAAGCAATCTGATTCAACAGCACTTATTTTCAGGGAACAAGGGAAAGTTTAACCTTGTATGAATAATTGAGCTTCCTACCATATTCAAGAGTCACCCCTTCTTCTGCTGTTTCTCAATTCTCAATGTCTGCCCTCCCTTCCTTCTGACTCATGATGGCCTTGCCTAGAAAATTCTGCATTGCAACATACTTGTTTCCCTGTGCACTCATTCTGTTATTATGTATTGTTCTAATTGCGCTGTGTGGAAATTCTTACTGCAGCATGTGAAAAAGATGTGGAAGAGGTGATGGATCAGTTCTTTGAAACAGCCATGTCAGAACACCAGTAAAGTAGTTAATAAGAAAGCCATTATTAATTCAAAACTCTACTGGACTTCCAGGGAGACAAGGGAATAGGTTGGTGCCTTTAAGGACACTGGGTTTGTATACTTCCTTTTCTAATCATTTTTTGGATATTACTTGTTAACTGCTTTTTGGCTATGAGGAACCTTTGGATCAACAAGTTTTGGACAGCACCAGGTGAGTTTCCTTCAACTCCCAATGAAAGAAGTTTTAAATACAAGTTTAAGGACTTAAAACTTTTTTTTTTGAATAAACAGAAGGCAAAAGGGTGATTAGAACTTTGATTTTGGAAAGTTACAAATTGACTAAGGATCCAGATGGATTTGAAATAAGATTTTGAAATTAATTATAAGAATCCTTTCCATGGGAAAATGTTGTTGTTTTGAATTCTTAAAAAAATAACATGATAGGATGGAACTTTGAAGGTTGAACACTAGAAGAAACTAGAAGGAAGTAAAGATTACAATTCAAGGAGAAGAACACTTAAATTTGACTTACTAATACAGAATGGAGCAAAATACCATAACATTGGATGTATTGAAGGATATTTGTGAACAATGGACCCAGAAGTTAATTTTAAGCGTGACTACCTCTATATATAGACTGTGTTTAAAAGATGTTATGGAAGAGGAACATGTTTTCTTGGACAAGACTGAGACTGAACTGAAAGTAGATTTAAAAATGACACACTACATAAGAATGATATGGAAAAAGATGCTACACTGGATATACAAATGAAACTGGCTGATGTCTTAAAAATTAAAAGGGATATACAAATAAGAAACCAAAAAGTGACCTGGATAACTTTCCTATATTGAATTTATAAAAGAGGCTTGTTAAAGCTTTGAAGAATTTTGTGAGAAGGGTCAAAGAAAAAATGAAAAGAAATAAATTTCTAGGACATTATTTGAAGGGATTAAAGATCAAGATTGCTAAAAATAAAAGGAAGGAATATAAAGTTGGTTTGTTTGATCAAGGTTAAAATAGGTTTGTTGTTATTTCTGGTAACCCTTAATGGACTTTTGCTGATCAGAACTGAATGACAAGACTTTAAGGATTTGTCCATAGATAAGACATGAGATATGGGAAGAAGAGATCATTTGTTGTATTTTAAGAGAAGGTGAAAAGTTACTAAAATTGTTTTTACTTGTTGTGATGATCAATAAGTATAACCAATTTCTTTATATATTTATTTTCTTTTTCTTTACTATATTCTTATTTTTTCCTTTCTATTTTCCTTTTTTGCTACACTTTCTATTTTTTCTTTTTCTTTTTTAGTTTGTATTAGTTTTTATCTTTTTAACTGTAATATTTAATAAAATTATTACTAAAAAAAGTAGGAATAACCATATGCACAATTCGCTCGGTGGTTATCCAAGGGGTTTCATGAAGTTTGGATTGTGTCCATTGTGTATAATATTATATTATGTCTCCCGATTGCTTCAACAGATGGCTCTGCAGCCATTATCAGCTTAACATATGTCTCAAAGAATGTCTGAAATTTGGTCACAATCCCAGATTAATTTTGCAAATGTCTAAAAACTGAGAAGATTTTAAGGGTAAATGTTGACAGTTATCGACATGTGACTGCCAGCATTCACTGCTGCACTTCTGAAAAGTGAAGAAATACATTTCATTTTAAACTGTTGCCTAAATAGGCAGATGCCAACATCCATCCCATTGTGGTCCATGACTATATTAATGCCTCCTTGTTCGGGTCAGCTTTGTGAGGTAGTCCAGACAAGAAGCACACCCAGGAGTACTAGCTCTGTCTTTATTGTAAGGTTATATGAACAGAATCTAGCAAGTCTGAAAGTACATCTCTCCCCCCTCCCCTTTCCAGTCCAAGAAACTAGGGAGGGTCCCTTCTGAGATGTTTTCCATGCCTCCATTGCTTCTGTGGGCTAAACTGCCTCTTATCTGCCTAGCCTGCAGCTCTTCCTCCTGTCTCCCAAGGTCATTCCCACAGACTGTTACAGTTTGTGAGAGATTGTGGGGAAGATGGAAAAGGATTGGAAGGGAGAGCAGACATAAACAGTCAAGAGATAGAAGGCACAGTCATTAGCATCTTATCTTATAAAAGGCGACTCACTCCAGGTGGCAGAAAAACTCAGAAGCAGCATTTCAAATCATTCACAGAGACTCCACGTTAATGAACCCGCTATAAACGGTGGCTGGAAATTCTTCTTGCAGTTTCCAAGATTCTGCATTTACCCCAGATTGGCATTAAGGATACCTAACCAAAGTCTGATTGTCCTTGCAGGCTTGATCTTGTTCAGCTGTGTGGGGTTTGGCAATATGATTAGGAATTTTGCAGTCTTCATCAGTAAAAAGGTGCACACCCGTGTGATTTTGCTGGTCAAAAGTAATGAGAAGCCAGGAACATAAAGAAGGAACATGAATGGTGTTAAATGGTCTGGAAATTCCATCCAGCCTGGAGGAATGTGCAATTCCATGTCTGGAGGAAGAAATGTTGAGAGTAAAGGCCTATGAATTTCTATTTTATTTTGCACAGATTAATGTCATGGGGGTTCCTGGATTTTAGAAAAAGCCTGGGAAAAATAAGGTGCCCCTAAAACCCACTAATGACCATGTATTAATCATTGCTTATAGGAGTAGTAATACATGCCAACAGCTAGCATTTTGCTTTTCATCTAGTGTTAATGAGAAAAGGAAATGTTTACACAAGCATTTTGAAAAGGAAGGCTTTGGGCTTAAACAATAAAACAACAAAAGTGAATGAAAATCTCTGGTGGAGAGAAAACAGCTACGGAAACTCTGAAGGCACAGAGAGCTAAACAGAAAGAATTGAAATAATAATAATAATAATAATAATAATAATAATAATAATAATAATAATTTTCCTCCTTTTATTTTTTAACAACTCAAAGCAGCGTACATAATGTTCCTACCTCCCATTTTCCCCACTACAACAATCTTGTGCACTGGGTTAGGCTGAGAGAGAGAAACTGTCTCAAAGTCACCCAGCCAGCTTCCGTGCCTACAGGTGAACTCCCAGGATCTTAATCACTACACCACAGTACACAGAAACAAAGACTGGGTTCTGAGGCATGTGCTGATTCCCACAACTGGACTGATTCCTAGAACTAGCTTAACCAAGTGGGGGAATCAATCAGAAGCAAAAGAGTCTGCATGGATGCAGGACTATCATTGGGTGCTGAAAAAAGGGATGAGACACTGAGAAAATTTTAGGTGGCACCAAGTCAGAACCCTATAAAAAATGTAGCTCCATAGGGAAGAGTAGAGAAAATTTCATCTGCACCTGGCTGTGGATAGACTGTGCTCATCTTCTCCACTCTTCTGCTGTGGAATGCCACTTTGGCATGGCTACGAAAATGGTTCACAGACTGATAGGGACTCGGGTGATGGCTTTTGCCAACTTCTCCATTAGTTGTGGAAAGAACTGCCTCTTTGCTGTTGATTCACAAAAAAAGCCATTAAGAAATAAGTTGAGAACACTGCAGGGATTAATTCGTTTTGAACTGGAAAGAGTTCAGCTGCTGAAATTCTTGTAACCCTATCCCTTTCATCTCCATAAATCTTGCTAAAGAAGACTCTGCAAAAATCCTGCTTGGAAGAAATACTTTTGGCTGAGTCAGCCCCAAGAACCTGACAGCCACCTACAAGTATAGTGATTCCCAGCTCCTGGGAAGTGACAGAGAAAGGGGACAAGGGGCCTGCTCTCCATATTTGTGAGTTTCTCTCAATGCATCTAATTAGCGGAGGGAGTGCTGGACCAGTTAAGATCTGGAAGAGAGGGCTCACTCTAGTCCTGATCCCTCAGCAGCATTGCCATCAGGGATCATGGAAGCAGGCCTGCTCTATCACAGCCCCCTTCCTTGGAACAATCTATCTTAGAGATCAGAATGGCCTGACTCTGCTAAGATTTTGGATGGCCATCAAGACCTGGCTTCTTCAGAGGGCCTTTGGCAGATGACATGAGTTTCATTCCCTCTGGGAAAAGAATGCTGGTATTGATTCTTGATACTTTGCCTTTAATATTATATTTTGCATTCCAACATAGTAATGCATATTTCATCATTTGCCTCCTCCGTGGATAGCCTCATATAGGTAGAACAATTCTATTTTTTATTTGGAGTGATTCATTCTTGGAGCTTTTTGAAACTACTAATGTACTGTTATCCATAGTCTGGCAGGATAGAAATAGGGAAGGACAACGATTTGGTTTCTTTCACTACTGTTCAGGATCTTTCAG